CTGTGTCAAATTTAACAATGTTGAAAAAATAGGGCATCAATTTGAAGCATTGCAGACGAATTGACCATTCTCAAAACAGAGCTGGGTGTTTTTATAAAGGGCTTTTAAAAGTGCGTACTGATTGTGACGGATAGGAGAGACTGTGGCTGGATGTGCCAACCTCAGAACCTTGGCTCGAAATTCGCTGAGCTCTGCGCTTACCATAATCAGGCCAGACAACTCTCCTTCTCCCTTCTACCGTGCACGAAAAACCCAAACACATCGAGTGAAATGAGCCCACAGGATGGGCGGAGGACAAGGGGGGTAGGGATAAGGGCCCATGAGCGTGCGGTGCCAGACTCTTGGCTCCAAACACTGTTGTTTGGGCTTTTTTTTAGGCTTTCCAGGTCTTAACTCCAGAGGGACAGTCTTCTGCTGTGCCTGACTCTCTGAGCAGCCTCATTTTACTGGGGGTTGGGGAGGGGAAGGTTCTCTAAACTGGAAGTAAAGTAGTTGTTCTTTTTAAAAAGCAAAATCCACCAGTGAGCCATTTTGTAAAGCATACCATTCATATGGATTTATACAGTATTTATCACGAATATTTGAGTTATTGTGTTATTTGTGCTGATTGCATGAGGAAGTGTGGAAGAATGAATAATGCAATATTTTACTTGTATATGGTTCAGTGTAATGTGGGTTTATTATGGTAGAAATATGTGTATGTGAAAGTGTGTTCAAAGCAAGTTTTGCCATTTCGAGAGTCATAGGGCAGTTTAATTTTATACATAGACCTGATAGTCCAAGGAATTGGGCTTTGTAACAGACACGGTGTTGGAATCTATAGTGAATGAGTGCCACTTATTTGTTGAGAAAATATGTGCTGTCTTGAGACTTTTTTTATCAGGAGGGTCCTGCATTGGAATGCTTGGCCAATTCCAATAAAGGGGTGTGCTGTTTGTCGTGGGAGGGAAATTGGAGAAAACCCTCCCACACATATGAGGGGGATAACACTCAAAACTCTGCACAGATATAGTAAGTACACAGAAATGCTGATTCCAATTAGTGGAGAAAATCTCTCTGTGGACTGCAGCAATCTCTGTACTGCCATCTGCTGGGCCCATGATGCTGTTGTGTACTTGTGGCCACCCATCCAAGTAGGAAGCAGACACAACATCTGCTTAGTTTTCGAGATCCAACTAGATCGGTGTAACCGGAATTATTTGGTCATAGGCAACTTTAAGACAATATATTAATAACAACATATTGTCATTACAATTATTTTAGACATTTGCTGAATTTGCAGATATGGTTAACTGTATATTGTAAAGTTGAATCAGGGACAAACATTAGGATATACAATGTGACGCAACAAACAACTTGAATGCAGTTTGGACTGTATGAAGGGATCAAATGAAGTGAAACCACCAAATGATACTCCAGGGATTATGGAAGAATTGCTGTTCCTGTGTGTAACTCTGAATGTGAGACGGAGCTGGGAATTCGATATCAATGAGTCATGCCAATTGTTGGCGACGAAGCCCATGTACGAGGCATACGCTTCACTTGTTGAAAATACATTGGCGCAATTAAACAACTTTCCAGCACAAATAAATCATGTTCCATAACGAATCCGCTCAATTGCTTGACATTTAATAGTTTTCCAGTTTTAATTGTGCTCTTTGCCCCTGCACATTTTTGTCAGGATTCCTTGCTTACAAATAGATACACTTTTCTCATTAAATTGTTAGCTGAATCATGTAACCATATGTTCATGCGTATGAAAATTTCTGTCCGCATATATAATGCGAATATAATGGAAGGATTTAACATTGAATCGTGCAAGTTTCGTAAAGTCTTCCCTCCCCCGCTCCAGGATCGGTTCATCTAGAAGTGTAAACGGTACACCACGAGATATTCAATTGGTAGGTCGTGTGTGGTGAGGTAAAGTGTGGGTGCTCCCACCTCTTCCAATATGTTTGGCCAGTGTGGAAGAGTTCCCATCTAGTGGAGGCTCTGCTGCTGGCAACTGGTGTGTGCAAGACATTGCAGCGCTGCACGTTTACCACCATGACTATACATTGCACGGTGAAGATATAAAATGTCGATGTGCATTACAAATATATATGTGTGTAGCTACAATACATTATATATCTTCTTTCAGATGTAGTAATTACATAAAAAAAACTACATCACCCTTCCTGTCTGTTATAATGAAATGTGGGTGCAGTACATAATGGTGCATGTTCTTTGCGTGACTGGAACCAATATGCTCAGATTGTTTTTGTTCTCTGCCAGGGAAGATACCACGCTCTACGTCTTGTTATACAATCACCATTCCGAATGGAAGAAACGCTGTAAGATTTACAACGTCTAAGGTTCTTCCCCTTGACCTTTAAAAGTCAAAACATTCTCTGGGCACGGTTGCACGCAGTCTTGTGTGTCTGGCAATTCGGATGAGTGATAATATATTTGGCCGACTGCTCGGTGATGCCGTTTGTTATGATGGCAGTTCCAACAAATCTCATGGTTTACACGTGCCTGGCTTGCGTGCTTCCAGAATCCTTCCATTGCCAAACTGTCAAGAGTTACCTTACTTTGACAGCAACGTCGTGTCAAATGTGGAGACGTGTAGCATTGGTTCTTTGTGGTAGCACGACTAAAGAGGCTGTGTAGAATGCAGTGTACACACACACACACACTTAGGTGCCGCATAGACTGAGGTTTGTTTAAAGTACGAATCTTCATAGTCAGTAATCGTGGAGCTGGTGTATATTAACCTTTACTTTTTTGCATTTAAACATATAGCAGTTTGTGCAATATATGTTTCATATGAGACTTAGAGTACACTTTTAATATCCTATTTGGAATGTTGTAACTCATTATATATATACACCACAGAATGGAAAAATAAGGTTAAAATGTTTTCCGACTAAACTTTTAATGCATCGGTAACTAAATGGAATGTGTATTTTTTTTGGAAAATATATCTGGATTTTTCCATTGCAAAGTGTATCGTCTTGTCCGTTTGTCTTCCCTCTGGGCAATGTTTTTCATTTTGACGACTGTAATTTCCCCCTCCTATAAGCCATGCCATGGCATGGCATTTAGACTCCCCCCTCTGCAATCAGTTAGTACCAGGTTTCAATCCCTCTGGCATGGACTCGCAGCTTGACCAAACCGAATTGGCGAAATGCCGGCCAGCTTTGAATGGATTTCATATCCCGTGGTCCAGCACAGCCAGAACTTGAAAATTGGCTATCGGGACTTGCACATTTAGTCAGCCGGGAGAGAGAGGGGAAAAACAAACTTAGTTAAAGTTTTAAGTTTGAATTGTTACTGTCACTTTTGATTTTGCTTTCTGCTGCTGCTGTTGTTAATGCAGTTGTTTTTTCTCGTAAAGTTGTCATACTTCATAATCATTCTTATAACGGGTTATACATCTAATAATAATAATGAAAAATATTAATTTACAGTCTTCTGCTCTAAGAAGGTATTTTTAATGCCACGTCAGTTTGTGGTTTGCTTGACGATGTATGACCATAATGGTCTGTGCGAGTTGGTGAACGAGTGGGAAGGCTAAGGACCGGTTCGGGTATCACTCGCCCACTGGTGTGAGCTGCTGCTAGGAATCAAACTAGGTCACCAACTTCATGTCGCAGTGTGATAACCACTTATTACACTTATTAACTCTTACATTGAACACGATTGAACAATTTGTCTCTCTTTTTTAAGTTTTGGTTACATTCGTTAAGTATCGTTATTATGTTGTTTACCCCAGGAAGCCTCACTGAGTCTAAATACTCTTTTTCAGGAGGGTCCTGCCACGTTTTTGCTGTAGGGAGTGATTTTACTGTTTTGTGTAATCCCAATTAAGTAATTTGCAGGTAATTTTCCAGCATTTTTTGTTTGTTTATTTTCCCAAATGTGAATGCTTACTTTTGAATCAAAACTCAACATAGCTCTCCGTTGCATTTTTGGGCTGTTCGGCATGATGTCCCACATTCCGCCCCGTATGCTGGGAGCATCTTCAGGACCTGAATTCTTGGGAAACAGAACGCCTGGCACGTGGAGTGAAACTTTGGACATCATGGTGAATAACGCGTGGCGCAACCAAAAATCACGAAGAGCTGTACAGCGCAACTACGAACACCTAGATAGAAGTTGTCGTCGTACAAACCCTTGAAGGAAATTGTGGTCAGTCATGGAGAGGAATGGCTGATAAAGCAGTCGACAAGAATCTATCTCTCTAACAAAAAAGCTAGTCTTCTACAGCCTATGCTTATATATTTATTTATAATAATTTTTCTGTACTGGTTTAAACTTGTTTAGCTTCCCCAGCACTCTTATTACCCACGATGCCCCATGGCTGCACATGCGTTTTTGTACGCATTTGTCCTGTTTCGTTGCTTGGTTTTTGTTTCTAACATCTGACAATTTAGCAGGGCCTGACTGAAACCAGTTGAGGATTTGCCTTCTTAAACAAACGCTGATGGAAAACCGATGTATTATACCCACAGGCTGATGGACTATAAAAAAGATAATGGTGGAGCTATGGACTCTTCTCCGTTTATTGTTGAATAACTTTGACATGCGTGAATCAAGAGGCTAGATCATGGCAAATGATGACGATTAAGTTTGAAGGTTGTTCCAGTGCCAGTGGTCGATCAAAAATGTAGTTGAAAAACTGCAATGATAATTGTTGATAACATCGAGCAGTGTTCTTCATTGCAATGCCCGGGGGCCACTGGTGGCCCCTGATGGCCTTTAGTGCGGACCCCAACAATACACAAACGTGAAAACACCCCTTGCATGCGGTTTGGCGGCACTCACACTGATGTTTTATCCGCGAAAGTGCCCCCCCGCCGCCCCACCCCTCTGAAAATGAGTAAAGAGCACTGAAGTGGTTGATTGTCAGAATAAGACAACAAATGTGGCTATTACAATGGCAGTCGTTGCCAAACGATCATGACCTTCACATGGATAAATTCCATTGACTCTTGAGCATGGTGTTCACCTTTCAGGAAATAGCACTGGTGGTCTTCTTTGGGGTGGAGTACCTGGTGCGTCTGTGGTCAGCCGGCTGCAGGAGCAAGTACGTGGGTGTGATGGGACGCGTCCGCTTTGCTCACAAGCCCATCTCCATCATCGGTGAGTGTCAGCACTGCCCTGGCTCTTTCTGCCGTGCGACTTGCCCAAACACTCCGTCACTTTCTGGCAGTGTTTCATGAATCCTTGTGTGTACTCGCAGAGGTCATGTTTTCAAGAAGTGTGAAGTCCACAGTATTATTGAAAATAATTGTTATCTCTTTGGTCGAAGTAATTCACTGATAGGCTGAGATCAAATCATCTGACAAAACATATCTCCTTCATTGATCTGTCCCTCCACATGAGAAAAAAAAATACACTTCCTGTCAATACAAAGCATCCTGGGAGTGCATAATTTCAGCAGTGTTGGCAGAGGACAAGCATAGTGGATAAAAGAAATCTTGTCAACAGAATTGTATATATTTTTTTTATTTTTGACTGAGCAATGACGCAGTAATTGGAGTGCTGCGCTCCGAACCTTACAACCTGAGTGTGATTCATGGTCATGGCTATATCGGTGGTGAGTGATATCTGAACTTGTATTCATATTGTTAAACAGCTTCCATGACCGACAGAGCATGAGGAGGCCTTTATTCAACGGTGGAATGACAAAAGGGCTAAATTATTATTGAGTCTCTCTCTCTCTAAATTGCAAGAGGAATGTGAATCCTTTGTTTCTTACAGATCTCGTGGTAGTGGTGGCTTCCATCATTGTCTTGTGTGTGGGCTCCAACGGGCAGGTATTTGCAACCTCTGCCATAAGGTGATCACAACCCCTTTATTGTATTTGATTTTACAATTAAGATTGAATTGCTGTAAGATTACGGTACAGATATCTGAAGATTGAAAAAGAAACTAAATTGTTGCTATGTATCCATAGATTCACTTCCTGTATGATGTGTACATAATTAAAGTTCACAACTCTGTCAAATTAGTATTTGTCTCCTTTGCACTGTCTTATTTGTATTTGCCGTCTTGCATGTTCATTTCATTGGCCCAAAATAAATATTTTTTTCACGTGAATTACCAATTCTCTTAAGCACAATTCAGCACATGTATCCTGAATGTAAGAATCGATTTGAATCAACGAATTATTGTGTCTCATGAACATGTATTACTTCCATTACTCTCATGCATTACAGCCTTCATAAAACAGTGAGCAAAAAGGGCATGTGTTATTAACATTATACGGTATAGGGTGATCCATGTATAGATGTGTCCGACCAATGTCAATACACGTATAAGTCAACGCACTTATTCATTCTTCGCGCTTTAATATGTTCATTCACCCGTCGAGAAGAAAGTGAGAGGGTCATTAGGAATGAGTGGGACATCTATAAATACATCACCCTACGTCACACTACTGTACTGGTACAAAAACCTACTCCTATCGACAGTGTTTCACAATCACATTGAAAGTTTAGATTTCCCAGGCGACCACAATGTTATTTCCCGAAGCGATCGTGGATTTCAGCTCGCCTTGAGCCGGGTTGAGGAGCCCACTCAGGGGCAGGACAAAGTTTATTTTGCGGCGAAGGCAACTAAAATGACGTCTGTCTTCGCATGGTCTTGCAGGGGCATTCGCTTCCTCCAGATCCTGCGCATGTTGCACGTGGACCGGCAAGGAGGTACCTGGAGGCTCCTGGGCTCCGTCGTCTTTATCCACCGGCAGGTGAGGGCACCTAGGGACTGAGAACTCGCTGCCCGCCCCCTTCACGGCTTGGTTTTTTGTCATCGGTGGAAGAGCCGGCATTCCTCTCTCGAAGCGTGTGTTCTCTGTGACATAATCTGTACGTGTGCATACGTAATCCCTTCAGTCAATGCGCTACTGGATGAAGGCCTCACCGTGGCTTGCGAGTCTTTGGGGGCGGGGTTAATTGACCAAACTTCACCAAGTTGGTCAGTGAGGATTGGTGAAGGTGGGGAACGTAGAAAATAAACAGCCCCCGTGATTGACACAGCATGTGGAGGCCTTCATCCAACAGTGTATTGATAAAGGGCTGTGAAATATATATATAATAATAGGGTTATTCCCTTTTTTTTCTGGCAACAAAACTGGAACCTTTTTACAAGGAATCATGTGTGCATTAACCACAATACTTGTGGTCAAAATGCAAACAAAAAACACACTGATAATATATGCATTGTCCTTGAAATTGATTGGTCCACACCAGAGATGGCTTTCTTTTGAGCCTCGTCTCAATTGGTGCTCGACCAGAGGACGCCAAAAGGCGTACAGCTCAAAGACAATGCACTATAAGGGCTCAGGGTAAGCATTTACATCATTAGACCTCCTTTGCCAGTACCAAAATATAATAATAGGGTTTTCCCCCTTTTTTTGGCAACAAAACTGAAACCTTTTTACAAGGAATCATGTGTGCATGGAGGTCTAATGATGTAGATGATATATCTAATTTAATATATATAGGCTAATTCAACTTTGGGTGAAGGGAGGTTTACGTTATTTTATAATGCAAAAAGTTTGCACATTTATATTTAGCAGCTGCAAGAGAATCATTATGATCTGATGTCATTATTACATGTGTTGTGGGTTTAATGTCATGAAGCTATGGGAATTAGAATATGCATGATGGTACCGGGTTTCATTGCACACAAATGTGGCTAAGTGAGGTTTGCTTATGTTTTTTCTCTATTTTCTTCTTTCACCCAGGAGCTGATAACGACTCTGTACATTGGCTTCCTGGGTCTCATATTCTCATCGTACTTTGTGTACCTGGCCGAGAAGGATGAAGCCAGGGAGAAGAATGAATTTGCCAGCTATGCTGACGCACTTTGGTGGGGGGTGGTGAGTCACAATTTTGCATTAATGAAAGACTGCCCTTATTTGAAATCTGAGAGATCATTACACGAACATTGTCTGTCCATGTATGTCTGTCTGTGTAAGGCTTGCTCTGTTTATGTGTCTGTGTCTTTCTTTCTGTCTATTTATCTGTCAATTTGTCTGTCTGTGTGTCTTTGTTTGTCCATCTGTCTTTGTTTAGCTGACTGAGTTTGTTTTTCCCTGAAGTCCACTCCGCCTAAATATCAGTCTTCTTTAAACACAACAGAAATTTGTTTTTTTCACTCCTTATCAGTCAATTCAAAAGAAGAAGAAGAATTTTTTAATATTTAGATACTTTTTACTCGTGACTTGCTCATAACGTGTGGCGAGTGTGTTAATTTCCTAGTGTTAATTAGACTGAGCAATAAAGCCTAATAGTATTTCTGGCCCCCTGCAAACCTAGGCATGTCCTTGCCAAAACCTAAAACTATAAACTAAACTATTTTTTATTGTACCAGGTAAGGCCCACTGAGCTATATATATCTCTTTTACAGAAGCGACCTGGCCACAAATGATGGCTCAACGAAGTGGCTTATGTGGGAATTTATAGCAGCCAAATACTCGAAACGCATGTTTCTAAATGTGGTGGGGAAAAAAACCTGAGGACCTGGAGGAAAAATCCACGTGACCACAGGGAAAACATGCAAACTCCAAATATATAGGCATCGGGGTTGGGATCGAATCCATGACCTCCTATGTATTTGGCGAGATAGTTAACATCTCGCCACTGTGGCGCCCCTACATAGCTGTCCAAGGAAATAATAGCCCTGGGGATAGTAACGGTGGGGTGGCAGCTGGAAATAGTTGTGGGATCTCTACCCTCTTCCAGAGTCTAGTATCATCCTGCCTAATTCAGCACACCTGATCCATGCACGTTTCTTTCACCAGATGCCATCGGGTAATAATAGGATGTAAACATTAGGTGGCAGTTTGTCGGTCTTGACAACAGTGTTTTACACAGAGTTTAAACACGTTGTGGACATTTCTATTAGGGTGCTTATTTTTGTAATGGGAAGTTCGGTTTTGCCTTACACGTGGCAAGGTTTTGTTTTGTTTTGGTTTTCTGAGCAAAAAATGTTTGTACTACTGATTATAACTGATTGAATATATGTCACGTCGATGAATGAAATAGATGTGTAAGAATAATTTAGTAGCAAAATATGTATTGTATTAGTTACCTTATAAACCAAAAATGGTGCATTTTTGTCGTGGAAAATTTTTCATGTTTTTTTTCCCCCCACAGTACTAGTCCGCCCAAAGTTTGTATGTACAATCCATAATCACGTTTGCGGCAGTAAAACATGGCATACGTGCGACTTACCCTCAGAGACACGGATCGGCAGGTGTTTATGGTCTCCAAATACTGCAGCCTCGGCAAGAATAACAGTGCCGCCAATGCTGACTCTTTGAAAGTATTACTCCAGTTCTGATAAATAAATAAATGTGAAAGATTTCACTCCACGCACAGACAGGCCGAGTGAGAGAGAGAGAGAGAGGAGCACGTTGAATTACATTGAATATTACGTTTATTTTCACGGGCCACGACACGCAGACATGTCTGGCCTTTGGGCTGATCCCCGTGGCCTTCCGGTTGAGCCAGTGTCAATCTCCACGCCAGGTCGCTGACGCAACAAAGGGCTCCATTGTGGCCGTAGCGGTAGGAGTAATATAACTGCCAGCAGGGTTGAACGTAAAACAGGACACTGTAAAAGTCCATTTCTCAGCGTGAAGCAGGCAGCAGGCAGGCAGTCAGAGTCTCCACAGGGCAGCCGGACTCTGTGGGAAGTCGAATGAAATGGCGCTTCATTAAAAGCTTTGAACTCTTTGCCCGTTTGTAGTTTGGCTTAAAAAATACGAATAATAAAAAAATGAAGGATTCATCCCTTTGAGACTTACATTTTCCACGTTATAAAGCTCAGTTATATTTACCCGACATTGTTCGTGCCGCGATTTACCGGGAAATTGTTTTGTGTAGCGACCTGCAGGAGACTGCACGTATTAGCTCGCCTTTAGAAACTATTCTTTTTATTCACTGAAAAAAAAATCAGTGATTTGCCCAAAAATCTAAGTTAGATTTACGCAAAAAGATACTTCTTTTGACATATCATAAAAAGACAATGTTTTGCTTCAGTTCCGTTTTTTCCTACTACACATTTTGTTTTGCTTAATTTGAGTTACGCCGAAAGCAGAGACGTTTCCCTAGACGTGTGTGTACCATCGCTGTGGACATTACAAAATGTACCGAAGTAAATACATTCGCTACAGCACCCGTCTGGCAGACTCGGGCTCTTTGTTATCAGGACAGTGGCGAGAGCCGCCTTCCAAAACCCTCGACCGCAAACCTCACTTGCTTAGCCAGCAGTTTCTTTTAAGCCCTGGTGGGTTTGGTGGTGTACAGTATGGACCTTTATTCAATGTGTTGACGCCCGTTTGCAAGTAAAGCCCCCTTTTTTGCCTCTGGGCCCCCCCCCCCCATTCCCACACTCAGGTGACAGTGACGACGATAGGATATGGCGACAAGGTGCCACAGACCTGGATCGGCAAAACCATCGCATCTTGCTTCTCAGTGTTTGCCATCTCGTTTTTCGCCCTGCCTGCGGTGAGGACTCTCTCGCGATAATTCCACCGCGCAAGTGACACTTTCCAGTGTTGAGGAGGACACCTGCCTTTTGTGGCCCGAGCTTCACACCACGAGTTGGGTTACTCGTGTGATGGGCAGTGTGGAGATATTTGAGAGTTTTCAAAAGCGCGATTCAAAGTTTTGTTTAGCGTAACTGTCAGTGATTTTCTCTCTGTCTATACCCTCCCCACCCCTTATTCATATAGCTGAGTCAAACAAATGCTTAAACATAGCACCTTATTCACAATACAAGTGATATCACACGAGCCGTGTTCATACGACCAGTATGGATTTTTATTGTAATATTTAATTTATTTTGTGAAAAGCAACCCCACGAGGTTCTATTTAAGCATGTGGGCTTTTAGCGGCCTTTCCGTGAGGCCTTCATGGACGGTCTTGTAAAGTATTCGGCACAAACACACACCAAAAACCCCAGCTACGTGATCACGAGCTTGCCTCGATCGCTGCATGACGATAACGTGAGAGTACACTTTTTTTTTCTTCCAACAAATGACCCTTGGCGTGCATAAACACAACGCCCCAGGGGGGGGCTGTCGTTCAGTGGGTACAGTTGACAGGTCCCCTGCGCCGCCAATTAAGCTACTTCCAACATGTTCACATTTTCCGACCGTTCCATCACGGTTGTCTCCTCTCGCAGGGTATACTTGGCTCGGGATTTGCCCTAAAAGTACAACAAAAGCAGAGGCAGAAGCACTTCAACCGGCAAATCCCAGCGGCAGCAACCCTGATCCAGGTGCCCGCTTTAACTGTGTGATCGCGCGCAAGAGAAGTCTTCATTGAGTTTGTGCTATGAACAAGGGCCATTGCTCAAAATGTTGACGACTATGTGTTTGGTTTTTTAAGGCAGTGGCTATTGACGAATGTGTGAAGTTTTTCTAGACCTATTTGCGCCACTGCCAATGCCGCATCGCCAAATAATATGCATTGAATTGTGTTTTGTGACGGCTTGGAGGATTTTAATCTAGTTGTCTTAATTTAAATTGCATTTAAACTCATCTGTCTTGACTACAGATACAACTTATAACTGTACCAGAATATTTTCAGAGTGCTACATACAAGGCAATTCTCCCCCACCACCAAAATCTAGTGGTTGGTTTGCCACACCTGTGTGTTTTTTTTAACATCCTATTCATAACTGCTGACAGCCCTGCTTCCAAATCAATTCATAATGAAAATATAGCACTGCAATATACCTCTGGTCCATTCCAACTTGACTTGTGTGAGGCAGGTGAGACCCCAGCAGAACCGAACACGGTATTTATGACTTGAACCATTGCATTGGATTCATACCATACACACTAAACTTGCAACCCAGAGGTTACAGTCCGGCCTCCTGGTGTTGCCGTCCACCCAGAAGTATAAATGAATTCACCACAGTTAGTTGTTCGGCAGTCGGGGTGTGGTGGGGTAAAGTGTGGGCACTGTCACTTCTTCCAAGATGTCTGGCGACTGGATACATGAGCTTTCTAGAGCTCCCTCTAGTGGAGGCCCTTCCACCAGCAGTGTCATGAGCAATATCACATGCTATGCGTGTGTTGGCATTCCACGCAAGTGTTCTGCACATGTGAACATTCCCATAGAGCCTGTGGAGATGTCACTTGGCCGAGAGTGAGCACCACTCCACAGCCACGTGGATGATGTACGTGAACGCGCATGCACAGCCGGGCGGCCCTTTCCGAGACAGCACGTGGATTAGAAAGCAGGTATGGGTAAGACTCGCAGGCAAGAGCGTGCTAATCCACATCATCATCATCAACAATATGAATGTTGTCATCGCTATTATCATCGCTGTTGTAGGCCTGTCCGTTTGTGCTGTGTAGCTCTCAGATGGGTTTTTAGGTTGTACCATGTGTTTTTCGTCACAATGTCTGACGTTTCACTCCACATGCAGGGAGCTTCTTCAGGTACTGAATTGAGATGCTCATTTTGTCAATCTCCACATATATAAAAGGCAAAGTTGTGAATGCTGTCTGTTCAAAATGTTTAGCGTACTTCCCGACATGCAACAAACTGGAAATTTGCCATGTGGGTACGTTCCAGACTGTACACCATGCAAAAATGATAAAAATACAAGTGAGCTGTGACGTCAAATCTGTCACGTGACCCGCGCACGTGGAAGCGTAACGCATTGTAGTGTAGTGGTTAGCGCGCTACGAAGCCGGCGAACCCAGTTCGATTCCCGCTCACGGCCACCACCAGTGACGATTATTTTAACCGGTCCTGGGCCTCCCCTAGGTCGACTCAGCCTCAAACGAGTAAGTGGTGTGGTGTGTGAACATCGCCACTGGGGAGACAAAGGCGGACCGGGCGTCGGGTAGTAAAGCTAGTCGATTATATAGTGACACTGAGAACCAGTCACACCAGCATCTCAGAAGAATCCAGGGAGAAAGTGAGCTACTCAGTTGGTCCTGTTATTTTGGGTAAGGCCCATTGAGCTAAGAAACACTTTTTTAATGGCATCTCGGCCAAAACGGCTGAGCGTGTTACATGGGGTTCACAGGGGATACATAGAACAAAAGTATGGAATTGTTGAATCTTGACTTAAAGCTTTCGTGACTGCAGGAATTCATATTCTTTGGGTCTTACTTGACTTTACCGAAAGACCCAAAGAACAGGGAATTGTTGTCAACATGTCTAATCAATAATAATTAACAATCTGAACTAAGTTCAACGCAAATTTAGTAGGCAGTCCAACATTACAGTATACATGCCACTGAGGGAAGGACCTCACATATGCAATTTAAAATGGCATTTTTAACGCAATTCAACTCCCGAAGAAGCTTTACGGAAGCACGTGGATGGAAAACATGAGACATCCTGCGAGACAACACGCAGGACAAGGTGACACACACCCGGAGGGCATCGTCCAAGCTTGACGAAAGGCTGCCCATGCTGACGTCACCAGTTCTATGATTCAAAATTAAAAGTCATCTAAAATTACACAATGCATGCATCTTGTATGTATGTGGGCACGTGATTTTAAACAGTAACAAATGCATATCGTAGCCCGTGCTATTCTACTTCTCTAAATAACAAGAGGGGAAGGTATACCTGTTGCGGTTGCTTCAATAGATCATTCCATTTTCAAAGGTATTGTTCGTATCTTTTTGTTACACGTACATGAACAATCTTATCGGTGTATAACTGCAGCGCGTGTTTGAGGAGAGCGCGTGGCTTTGTTGTTCGTTGTAGTTTGTGTGGCCTCGAACGCAAAAGAAAAATAGCCACTGTTTGAAGCCCACGCACTGTTGCAGCGTCATGGCGGCCTTGTGCCTCTGGGCACTCTCGAGGCATTTTCTCAAAAGTCTTTGTGCCTCGCAGCTTTTATATTCTTGGTTCTTTCGGTAAAGTCATGTATCTACGTGAATATGAATTCCTGCAGTCACGAAAGTTTTAAGTCAAAATTTGCCTCGCAGCTGTTTGTTTATTGTTGGGATTTCATTGCTTGTACGAAACGAATAAATAAAACAATAAAATGCTCTTACTGTAGTGTCCAAAAAAAGGGGCCATTGTAATTATTTAGGAAAAAAGTGTAAAACAAAGTAGCATTGTACGGACGAATGTCAGAGTGACTTAGAAACCACCATATTTATGTTCAAGTCATAGAATAAAATAAGTACGTGAGTTTCGGTGACATTAAGAGAATAACACAATGAGCATGAGTCTGTTCAATCATATTACTGTAGTATCGCATGATAAAAGATCATTCTCGGGGTCCATTTCTGTACAAATAATAAGGGTCGCCAGGGTACAGTAAACATGCATGTGAGTTTAGATTAGTATGGTGAGGTTTGATTTATCGTGCTAAGAAGTGACATCTTGATGAAACGGTCAAATCACATTATCATGGTGATTTGACTCACTGTTTGTAATTGAGACATTGGTATATTTCTGCCAAAATGGGAAAGAACAGGAAGATTTGGCACCATGAAAATCCGATCGTCAGTCCCTGCTGTGTCAGCTTATGAACGATGATGGTGCTGAACAAATCTCCGCCACTGTTCCCTTTGCATGGTATTACCACTCCGTTCAATCCCAGCCCGATCTCTTTTAGACCCACCGCATCTATCCACCTCGCTTTTCCGTGACGGTAACACCGCAGTATAAACGAGCCGACATCCTCCCGTAAAACGGTGCTCACATCACCGTAGACCAAGATGGGGTGGGGTGGGGGGGGGCCTCTCTAAGCCCCGTGTTGAGCACAGCCTGACGTGTCGATGTCCCCCTTTCCACTGGCGAAGGAAAAAGAGGACAAGAAGAGGAAAAAGCAGCTGATCAAGCAGGCGAAGGGCGAAGGGCTTGTGAGCCCGGGGGCACGGCAGAGGTCCAGCACGTCCGAGGGCAACCACGCCAACACTCCTGACAACGGCACCAACTCGGCCACAGGTTGGCAGCCAGACACCCCGCTCCCTCTATCCATACCTCGACACCACACAGCCCACCGCTATTGTGCGACCGGCCGACGCCACCGACCCCTCCCGATCTCCACCTTCATTGTTACTACCAGAGACCCCCTTTAGTGTGGGTGAAACACAAAGGCAAAATAAGTTTCATTTGTTTTGGTATATATTTACATTTTATACGTTCATTCAGTATTGTTTGCACATTCAGTGTTTACAGAGGGCAGAAAACATCGTCACCATTGTTGGCCTTCTACCATTGGTAAACACTCCACATTCTTATGATGGGGCCAGCCTTTCCATTCGAGATGTGAACAAAGTGGTACCTATTATATTGACCCTGTAAGGATGATGGGTTGATTCAACGTTCAGCTGGGACTTGCCACTGCTTCACCTGACTGGATGATTTTCTTCAGTTGACTTAAAACCATTCAAAGGCAGGGTGGAATTTATGGTAAACCAGCAGAGAGCCTCTTGCACCACTCCAGTCTCATTGTTCGCCTTTAGTTGAGCAGGACTTCATTATTTTACTGACCACCGAATTCTTACATATTTTCCCATTCAGAGCTAAAGTCCAGAGCGCTTTCTCAAAGCTAATTCCTGTTTCATGCAGGTCGTTTGTATAAAATCGAACCTCCCAAACGTGGGTCTACTGCCACTCCTCTTCATTTGTCCCTGCGAAACATTCCTAACCTTATTGGATCCATACTAGCCAGCGGAATGTGGTATTATTCCTCTAAATAGCACAGCAAAATTTCTTATTTTATGTTTTTTTATATTTTATAAAGCTATTATATTGTTCCTCATTAATTTATAACAAAATACAGTGTATACAAAACTGTGCTTTAAATAGGGGCTCATTTATTTTCACTAAATTCAAACGTTCAAAAGTGAACTTGGCTCGAGCATTTGTAACGGTCACCTCGGTATTTTGCGGTATCTCGCTCAGACTGGAAAACCATTTCCGTTATGTTACGCTAGCCGCCTGCCCTCCTCCTCGTCCTCCTGCTCCTGCTCCTTTGTCCACTGAATCGTGTTTGTGGCGGGGGGGAGAGGGTCGCAAGCCCTCTGCCTGGGTGGTCCCGTGTGTCGGGCTCTCTTTAAATAATCTCACTGCCAGATTATGTTACGGGTTTCCCTCTCGGAGAGCTTCATTAGACCCAACTGCTCGTGACCCCCCCCCCCCTTCACGACGTGGCCAGGCCCTCGCTTGAAAAAGCCATTTATCATTTTCTTGATTACCATCGAGATGAATTGCCCAGCTGAGCTTTTGTTTTACAACGCAACTCTGTGTTCCAAAGTTGTGTACAGTCGATTGTCTTCATGTGCACGCTCTCACAATATTTCCACTTATGCTCTGCAACTGTTGTTGTGCCTGACTATACGTGTATTTATCAATATTCGAGAACAAATAAATAAAAAATTGCCAAAATTGACATTGTGTAGGTAATGTGGTTCACATGGGGTCAAATCTCGATCAGTCTTAATACTATGTTAGTTATTTAATACGTGAAAATAAATGCAACTTTGCATTTCGCCAATGGCTACTGTAACTGAGGTAAAATTATAGCAAATATTGCTCGAGTTTTATGACTCTCTGCTTATTGTCTCAATAAAAGTGACGCCTTGGCAAAACGTTTAACGCAGATGAATGTCCGCCCCACTTATTTTCATCCTTTTTTGTTTATTTTGTTTGCCCAGGTGAGAACTCAAGAGACCAGGTGTACAAGTGACCTGGGGCCTTAGTCTGCCAGTGGGGGGGGGGGGGGGGCAATGATTTCTTTGTATAATCCCAATTGAGTAATTAGTGGGTCATTTTCGAATAAGGAAAAAAAATGTGGACCCTGACACGGAAACACACTGGCCTACTCTTGTGGATGACGTCAGGGGGATCTTTAACGTCCACTGTGTAGCAGGCGGCACCAAGTACAGGATTCCCTCGTTATCCGTGAGGGATACGTTCCAGATAAGCTTGTGAATAGCAATTTCGTGGATAATGTTATTGTCCTACGAAAACCTATCTTTTTAATGAATCACCTTAAATAAATACACGAATAAGCCATTAAATACATGACAATGTATCATAACGCACCAAAATGTAATTCGTTATTATAAAGTAAAAACATTTTCAAGTATTAAATAATCGTTTATAAACGTATCTCATTACATTATCTCATCACTGTTTCGCATCACATTCTGTCTCTCATCACTTCTGTTCGTTCTCTCTCTCTCTCGATGCAGTCGTGTAGAGTTTCAGATGAGATTCGCGGATAGCCAAAATCGTGTACAGCAAGTTCATGAATAACGAGGGAACACTGTATTGCTATGGTTATTATGTCCTTGGCAGCTACTTTTGAGTGATGGGAGTCCCTGCCCACGTCACGTGCATCAAAGTGGAACAAACATTGGCCTCCTCTCTTCTTCACTTACCATGACCAAGGACGGATTAACACAGGGGCTTTAGAAGCTGAAGCCCCATACCTCGGATTTTGCGGACCCCAAAAATAGATACTGCTTCATAATGGTTAAATCGCAAAACTGTAGCAATATGATAAACCCCATAGGTAGCTTGGCAATTAAAGCCAAAAAACGCTATGTATTACTAACAAGCGAAATTGAGTTTGTTCTAACATTTTTCTCGTAATACAATTTGCGAATCACAATTAAAATATATGACTGAAATAGCTCTGATTAGCACGGTTGGCAACGTACAGTGGTGAAAGAAGTTCAACATACATACAATTAAAGTGAGCTACAATTATGTGTTTGGCATTGGACATGGCTGGTGATTAACTGAATCAAGGGAGGGGCCCCAAAACTATGACAGCTCCAGGCTCCCATGGAAGCTAAATGTGGTCCTGACCATGGCGTGCCCCGCACTGTGATGCAGGGACAGATCGAGGCGTGGAAGCTCCGAGTGGACGTCCCCACCCTCAATAGCACGGCGAGCTTTGACGACGGCGAGGCCTCGGAGGACATCTCTCTGCCGGCCGTGATGCACATCTCACAGTAAGGCCCTCCGCTCGGTGGTGCTGGACGCGTTGTGAGCAACGGCTCTCTCTCTCTCTCTCGCTCGTGCAGTGGGGAGCAGAGGGCGGGGGGGGGGGCAGCTGTCGACAAGAAATAGTCACTCGGTCGTTTTCTCGATTCCGTGATTCTTGCATGGCTACCGATTGAACGACGACGGTTATCGCATCGCGCGCTTTCAGGTGCGCTTCTGTGGCCGTCTGGAACGCTCTTCTCCTTCCGATATTAGGAAGCCACTGGAGCTATGCACTTTTTAATCTAGATTTAAAATTAATTTTAAAGCTGCTTTTTGTGTTTTGGTTTCTTGTCGTTCCCCACACCGCCGATTAGCACGGTTGGCTATATACGGTGCGAAATAAGTTCACCATGCATACATACTACATACATACTACATACATACAAAATGTAATTTGGGGAGGATATGTCAGTGCCAGGGCTTCATAGTTTTTGTCATGGGATATTTTCCATTGTGTCCCTTCCCTCTCCCTGAGAAACAACCCCCCTTAACGATGAGAGGTAGGGGGCAAGCGAGAATTATTTTCCGGAGCTCAGGCCTTGACAGATCCTGCTGAAATGAAGCCCTGCGTAGGGGTTTGTACGATTATTAAAATTGCGATGGTCGATGCAACAAACCTAACTGAGTATTGCAACACTACAGCTCACGCGTTTATTCAGTGCGCGGGAGATGGGTAATTGAGTAGCAGGTTAGGAGGAAAAATTCGGAAAACATGTGGGTCCTGCATGGAAGCACAAGCCCATGCCTCTTTGTATAAATGGCTATTTTCAACAAGAGCATTATCTTAGAAAATAATCCCAATGACAATCCATTTATTTTTTTTCTTCAGAGAAACTGTCTTTAAAACCTACGCTCTTTTTTTTGCATTCCTAAAGATGATTGTTGCATTCCTTGAGATGATGAATCCTAAAGTTTGTTGTTCCAAGTCTGCAGCCACGAACACACACACACATTGACCATGCTCGATTGATGGGACAATGACAAAATGTGACGCATTACTTTGCCAAACCACAAGTACTCTGCCTTTTAATTTTACATGTTTTTTTTATTTAAAAACTATGTAAAAAAGTGTATAATGTTCTTGTTTACTTATTCACAGTTCGTGTTCACTCGTATAGTTTGTGCAATTTGGAACATTCATTGTACTGCTACCAAACGCATTTTCCGAGAATCAGATGAGTTCAAAAATTAGCGATTCTATATTTTTATAACAATGTAAAATGTCAAGACAATTGTAAATGGATATTCACGTACAAGATGAAATGGTTGTAAAGTTGTCTCTCCCTTGAAATGCCATACACACCACTTTAATATAAAGAATACATCTGAGAACAAGTAATCCTCAAAAAATGTAATCCTATCCTTAATACCATTTAACATATGTATAACTATTAAACTGCCACATTCGAATAAAACTGCCTTAAAAGGCCAAAAATATATCATAGGCGATGGTTTGGCTGATGGCCTTTCCTTACAGCTGGTGAAGAAGAGCCATTGCCTTAAACGTGAGCTATTATATACTTTCCTTTTACTGCATTGTTTTATTGATAAAAAAAATTACTATCAAAACTTTAATATTTTTCTTTACCAGGTAAGGCCGACTGAACTATTCCGCTCTTTTTCAGAAGCAACCTGTCCAAAAATGACAGCCCAAGGAAGTGACTTATCACGTGTAGATTTATAGCAGCCAAATATTCTAAGCGCATGTTGATTCTCAATGTGGGAGGGAAAACTGGAGAACCCGGAGAAAAATCCAGGCAAGCACGGAAATAACATGCAGACTCAATATACAGGCGTCAGGGTCGGGATCGAGCCCACGAACTCCTGCATACCAGGCGCGGGGGATAACATTTATCTACCTTGGTACCCCATCTGCACTACAATGGTCATTGATTGGTTCTTTTGCCCAGTGCTGCAGTTGAGGCAATGGGCAAGTTTCTTATATTTCCCTGCCTCTGTCCACCCAACAGGATAATAGGGGCACCACAGTTGATCGACGGTCGCTGGTTTGTGGGGTTAAACGTGGGTATTCCCACCTCTTCCAAGACATCTGGCCAGTGTTGAAGTGCTCTCCAGAGGAGTTCTCTAGAGCTCCTTCGACTGGAGGCCCTTCAGCCAGCATTGGCATAAGCAAGCAATTGCAGGGCTGCACCTTTACCTTGAGAAGAATAATTGTAATAATGACATGTCATTTATTTATTCAGGAAAACCTCACCGAATTTGAAGACTTTTTTTCAGGAAGGCCATGCATAGTTTTTTTTTTTTCAGCCAATCCGTTTAAATACAAATTTGTGCCTCGAACAAACCCACGCCATTTCTTAACTTGCTGATTCATTTTTAATTTAGATTGGTAGTAGGGTTTTCATTTTGTTGGTATGTATGCGTGTGTGTCTTGGGCTTCGTTCACGCCGTACGTAGCCAACTGCGTATATTGGATTTGGTCCTCAAATATAACATTTACGTACAGCGTTGTGGGATGATGTTGGCATGAATGACGCTATATAAAGTATTATTTACCCTCAAAGGTCTGTACAGATGGGTTCACAAACCCACTTATTATACTGCCATCTCCTGCCTCTTTGGGGTGCAAGCCACTAATCCTTTGTCTCCAAAGTGCTGGATCCACAGGTGTGGGTGCTCCATGCCGTAGTCGTGCCTGGCTAGATCTACTGCAGGAATTCGGTATGGAAAAAAACTCAATATTTCAAGAGCCGCAATGCATGCGGTGAATACGAGACGGTCCTCAATAAATAACGTCCCAAAGCAGTCCTTCAAGAGCAGCGTGAGGCTCCGGAGCCGCAAGGCTGGTGCAAACGCAACGTCAATACGCACCGCTCGAAGTGCAGTGACTTCGTTACGTCAGAAGGTGTCAGAATGGAGCTGCGTTTCACCGTTTCATCGACCTCATTCAGCGCACGTGTGGTACCCGTTCTTGTGTAAAAGAAAAACACAACTTAACAATGGCACCCATACAACAGATTACAAAATGCACCTCCTCTAAAGAAAATATGAACAAATACAATGTACACCATATACTCTCGTTTATTGACGCGAAGTACATCACCGTTTTAATGCCACCACGTAACTGTGTTTCTGAAGACGCGAAATTATAAACACGCCATCGACTTGAGCGCATAAGCAAATCTTGACTTAAAGCTTTCGTGACTACAGGAATTAATATTCTTGGGTCTTTCGGTAAAGTCACGTCGATAGGTTTAAAGAAAATAACAAAAAACTACGACGTTTCGACCGCAACGCAAGCTGTCGTCTTTTATTTTCTTCCTGAAGACGATCGCTTGCGTTGCGATCGAAACGTCGCAGTTATTTTTGTTAAATTATTTTCTTTGAACCTATCTACGTGACTTTACCGAAAGACCCAAGACTACGCATAAGCAAAGAAATGCCATACATTGTGCTCAAACACCATACAAAAAATGCTGCACCATAAATATGCCCGATCCAGGTTTTTTTGCGTGTTCTGCGGGGCTACACATCCTTCTTGGGTGCTGAAAGCTCAGCGTGCACGGTGTGGCATTCGTCGGCAGGGCATGGTTTGGGGCGCCTGTAATTGCTTCCAAGGAATAGGCTACAACTAGTCGGGAGAATGAATGGGCTAATTGTAGCTGCACGCCACTCTGAAATAAGTCACCCTCCTCACCTTGTACTTTTGCGCTTAGGAGCTCGAAAACAAAACTCGAGAGGCAGATTACGCTTTTTTTTCTAAAGTATAGCGCATGAATAACAAAACCGTAGCATGAGGGGAAACGAAAAAAAAAGTTAATATTTTTTGGCAGGCTCACCCAGAGATATCAGTGTGAGACGGAGACACGGTGAAGGTTGCCTCTGGATGAGTCTCTGGCTGTATGGCAAATACGTTTATTATGATGATTTTTTTAGATCCAGTAATTTCAGTACTCAACCACAGTCTTACACTACTCTTATTGCTTTCATTCGACAAACACTGTCGGGAGCTTTATACGTATATTTAATTTCCACTTTCGGTAGGTGTTTGCACATGATTGAAAATGTATTCCCATTAACTTAGCTAACTGTAATACTAAAACACTATACTTTGTATTAACATTATAATACTGACATTTAAAAACCTGTTTATAGGCAATAAACATTTGTTTAGGTGGGTGGTTTTAATGTTACTAATTGTATGGTAATTTTGAAATTTACACCTAAATGCACCATTTCACCCTCCTAATGACTTATTTTTTATACTAGCTACATTTTTAATAGATCTGATCTATGAAGTAATTAGTTAACCAGTGTGAAAATCACAAGTTACACAAACATATAGACTATTGCATTGTCACTGCGAGGGTGGAATTCATTATTCCTAAAAATATAACCCCCTGACTTTTGTGAAATACTTATTCCTGTAACTCATTGAATAGTTTATTTTGGGGGTTTTCGTAACCAGAAACTGTTTACGATAAACATCAGCAGTAATTTCTTGGAATATGTCTGTACGTACGTAAGATTTTTGGTGGACTAAAAAAGCTGAAATGTAAAAATGTATTCACACCGTGTATTGTATATTGATACTGAACACGCAATATTGAAACTCCATACCCCATTTAAAGGGACATGGAAAATGATACCTGTATTATTCCTTGTTATTCTGCACGTGATGACACGTGTAACATTACAAACAAAGCTTTTCATTTTCAGCAAAGTGATTGCTAGCTGAACAATTACAATCTCTGATAAGTGTTGATAGGTATTATAATTGCTCGTAAATCTTGTTTCTATTGTGTTCTTTAACAAACAAAAATCATGACAATTAAACTCATGGTACTGTGTGCCATATCCTAATTACAACATTGTTTATTGTGTTTGTAAACTCTGGCTTCTCCGGACTGTTCAAAGTACCGTAATATTCAGCAAGTAGCCCCTTATTAAAACAAAGATTCTGTACAAATTATGAGTAGGAGTTGTGAGATCTATTTAATGATTT